CGTATCCAGAAAGTTATTAAAGCTAACCAAATCAATTTCTGGCCCTCTTCTGTGAAGGCTGTTCCAACAATTCCTCTCCATGGTTGAATTACCTGACGATTGAAAATATGCCCATGTTGTTCCTATATTTAAAACGGGAGATAAAAATTTATTTGACAACTACAGACCCATCTCACTCACCTGCATTTCATGTAAACTTCTATAACACATTATATCGTCGCAGAACATGACCCACCTAACTACCAACACCATTCATTTTATTAACCAGCACGCCTTTCTGCGCGGATGTTCATGTGAGACGCAGCTGTTTGAGTTGTTAAATGACCATCATTGCGTTCGCCACTCCAGACACGACGATGCCATTTTTATTTACTTCACGAAAGAGTTTGATCGCGTACCACATAACCGGTTGATATATCAGCTGGCTAAACTAAACTTATCCACTCGTGTTGTTAAATGGATTAAAAACTTTTTGACTAGCAGACGCCAACCAGTTGTAATTAGCAAACGCCACTCCCCCTCTCTTCCCATGACGTCAGCTGTCCCGCAGAAGTCTGTACTGGGTCCTGTGATTTTTCTTATGTACATCAATGATCTTCACCCTAACATCAAACCCCGCTCTCGCCTTTTCGTGGATGATTGCGTCATCTACCGTCTCGTTATGGACTCTCACGATAGTACAATTTTTTTCAAAATGACTTAGACACAGCTTCAAATCGGTGTGGCACGTGGCTGATGAAAATAATTACACATAAAACAAAAGCTCTGACCCTTCACTTCGAAACGACATCTCACCCCTCACACGTGCTTCATTGGTAGTGACGCCGTTGAAAATGTCTCATCCTTTAAATATCTTGGCGTTCATCTCTCGTCGGACTTAGCGTAGAATCTTCACATTGAACACATTGCTAACAAGACGTCCCGAACTCTTGGCTTTATCAAACGAACACTGTTCCAAGCAAACTCACATACAAAGCTTTCTGCCTACACTGCCCTTGTCAGAGCTAAACTTGAGTGTGTCTCAGACATTTGCCACCCTCATCAAATATATCTGGCAGATAAGACTGAATCTATTCAAAACAACGCTGCTAGATTTGTAGCTTGTGACTACTCTCAATTCACATGTGTAAGCAATTAAAACTTCGACTTAACTTGTAACCTTTTCATACAAGAAGGCACCTCGCACGCTTATCGTTTATTCATAAACTTTATTACAGTCCCGCGCCTTTTAGGAACTCTTTCCCACTACCGGCTCACCATATATCGTCCCGCTTAGATCACCCATTCAAAATTAGCCCCATATTTGCACAACCCAACATGTTTAAAAACTCTCCACTAGTCCTCGCTATATCGGACTGGAACAGCCTCCCCAGACAAATTGTTTCCATCAGGGACCCTTAGTCTTTTGTCTCCGCTCTCAACAGGAATAGTCTTGAACCTTGAATACTCTTGCATCCCTGCAACATCTATTGTTTTCAGTGTCTTGTTTTCGATGTACATGTTTTATTGTGCGCCATTTTTTTATATCATGTTTGAATGCCAAAATTGCACAGAACTTCAACTGAAGTTTTACCTTTACTTTTTATCTTTTATCTTTTGGTTGCCACTTGGCTCAGTTGAACGAATCCTCGTATCACGTTGCCCTTACGTAATGGCCGAAAGGGCCTTTATGTTGAATATAAATAAATAAATTAGTGCGCTGCAATACACTAATGGGTGATAAACAGCCACGTGGCTTCCTCGTCTTTTTAAAGCAAGATGTTCAATCGTCCTCAGGTTCTAGCTGGTGTCTAGAACCTTATATTATTGTGAGCGATGCTATATGCACTACGTAGTGCACTTTCGACGGAAATTGCTATATGCACTACGTGGAGAGCTCATGCCGCTCGAGCCACCCTTTTTCGAACTGCGCGTGTGTCACTGGGGAGCTCGTGAACACAGCCCCCCGCGTGCGTTCACGCCGCTTCGCGGCGACAGTATGCGGCTGCTAATTAGAAAAATTAACCAGTACACGCTGCTTCGCGGCGTCCAGCCGGCAACCCAAGCCCCGCTGTCCCCGATCTGTGAAGTCTGCGAAGTTTCGTCGACAACATTCGGTGTTTTTTTTTTTTTTTTTTTTTTAGTGTTCATCGCAAAAAAGAAATATAAATATCGCCAAATGCCTCGACAAAACAACGTTCAAAAAAAAATAAAAAAAGGTAGGCCCACCGTGATTCGAGCCCGCGTCCACTTGCGTACGAAGCGAACACCTTAACCCCTACGCTATGCCACTTTTTTTTTTTTTTCTTTATTGCATGGAAGCACAGACGGGTGGGCACATGGGTCATAGTTGCAGTTTTGAAACGAGAATATACTGAGATTATACAAGCTTATTCAGATACATTTTCACCAACACTTTTACAATTCAGACACATTTGCACAGCTCTTCGGGTGCGCAGGACTGAATCGGCTGTATCAGAAATCAGGAAACGAAAGGCACTTTTCAAGTCGCCAGTACCATCTTGGCTTTTCCCCGAGTTCATCAAGGACACTTATTACGTGATTGCATGTTTCGATAAAATTTGATTTGGTAGTCCTTGGTGGTTCAGCGTTTCTGTCTATCATGCGAGTCTTCCAGAGACTGTGCATACCAAGCAAAATAAAAAAATCTGCGGGAAATGTGTCTGGATCTTCCACAGGAAGAAAACGAATAGAGTATGCGTTGATATACAAGTCCTTTTTGATAGTCCTTTGAAGCACATCCCAGAAAAGGTATGCATCTGTGCAAAAAATAAAGCAATGCTCAATAGTCTCTGGCGTGTTGCATAAACGACAGTTGACCGACCACGGTACAAATATTCCTTTGTCACGTAGCCATGGTTTTACGGGTAGTGTGTTAGTATGAAGCTTAAAGAAAAATGTTTTTGCAGTCGGGGGAACGCGCATCCTGCGAACTCGTTTTAAAACATCTTGATCTGTACTGTTTGGATAGTGGCTGCGATATAAAGGGTCTGGAAATAGCGAATCTATTAGGTTATGGTAGAGCTCTTTTCTGGAAACGGTGAATAAATAATCCAAAGAAAAACGCACTTTCAAAAACTCAAAAGCTTCGACGACTTCTTTGAGAAAGCCAAAACGTCGCGGCATTGCCACATGATCGGATGAAACAACGAGGTCAGGGAGGAGATCCATCAAGTGAGTTTGGAAAAAGGTCCTAATGAACGGGTGGGAAGACGTTCTGAGGAACATGAAACGTGAAACAATTTTCCGTACAAATAAGTGGGTTAAGCCTAGTCCTCCCGCTTCGATAGACCGAAACAGATTGTCGCGCCGCATTTGCTCCCATGAAGAGTCCCATATGAAGGTCGCAAATATCCTATGGAAACGCTGTAGGTGTCTTCGGGCACAGTGAATAACCTGAAGCACGTACCACAGTTTTGCGACTAGGAAGATGTTACATGCAGTAGCGCGGCCAAACACCGAAAGATGATTAGGCTTCAGCATGTCCGCTCTGCGCTTAAGATTTTTGACACTTTCTGTCCAGTAGCGTGAGCTATTTCGAACACATTCTAGTGGCGCGCCAAGGTAAGTAGTTGGCACGCCAGACCACGCCATTCCTGCATAATCCGAGGGCGTTGTCCCCCAAGTCCCATACCAAAGTCCACAGCACTTGGAGGTGTTAACCAGCGCTCCAGCTGCCTTACAAAATTGCTGGGTTAATTGTAATGCAGCGTCGATACTTTGCTTATCGACACAGACAAAAGCTACATCATCGGCATAAGCCAGAACTTTCACTTCACGAGATAACAATTTATAACCTTTTACGTCTGTACTTTTCAGTATACTTAAACACAGAGGCTCCAAATATAATGCAAAACAGAAGGGGAGACAAGGGACATCCTTGCTTTACAGATGAATGAAGGTGAACTGGTTTGGAAAGAGCTCCGTTAACTATTAATCGAGTTGTTGCTTCGGAATAACATATTTTTATACCGTTAAGGAGGACCTTTCCTACGTTTATGTGTTCTAAAAGAGCAAACAAAAAGAAATGGCTTACGCGATCGAAAGCTTTCGCTAGGGCAATTTGAAGCATGGCTACTTGGTCTTGTAAACTGTCGCAGCAATGAAGAACTGATCGCGCTACGTGAATGTTTGTCTGGATTGTGCGGCCTTTAATCCCGCATGTTTGATGAGCTCCAACCACTCTTGAAATGGCACATTGTAAACGTTTAGTAAGAATTTTGGCAAATATTTTGTAATCGACATTGCAGAGCGCTATTGGGCGATACCCTTCAACAGTCCTTAACTTGTCGGAGTCGGAGCTTTTTGGTATTAACACGGTGTGACTTTGATAGAACGATGGAGGTAACCTGCCATACTCAAGTGAAGCTGTGAAAAGTTCAAGGAGGAATGGGCATATCATGTCTATGTGTTGCTTATAAAATTCTGCTGAGAGGCCATCTGGTCCAGGTGCCTTCGAGCTAGGAAGAGACCCCACGGCCTGGCATATCTCTTTGAGAAAAAACGGTCTAGTAAATAGTTCGGAGTCCTCGTCACTCAAGCTGGGCAGCAGTGAAACGAGAGGCGCATACTCTTCATTTGATGAGGGGGAGACCTGACTAAATAAGTTTTGATAGTGTTGTGTGAATGTGTTCATAATGTTTTCGGTATTTCTTGAGTAAGCGCCGTTACATAGCAACTCCGGAATTTCTTTAGCTAAGGCGTGCCTGAGCTCGTCATCTAAAGTCTTTTTAGTAGGTTGTTCGGCCGACACAAGGCGTTGACATCTTGATCGCACAGCCGCTCCTCGGTAACGCTGAAGCTCGTGGCGTTGGAGCTCAGATTTGAGAAAGCAAATTTCCTCATGAAAACTACCTGGTTTTTCGCATTCCAGCTCATACAGTTCGTGAAGGCTATGTGTAAGTGCACGCCTGTCAGCTTTCTCATGATATGCCTGAATACACGCACACTCAATTGCGATGTTTTTAGCTTCTTGCTTAAAACTATCCCACTGTGCAAAAATGGAAAGATCGGTATTACTACGAATAGCCATAAAACAGGTAATTAGTCTCTCATTAAAGTCATTGTTTTTAAGGATATTGCTGTTTAACTTCCACAGCGCCCATTTTGGCCTAGATATTTGTTTGCGTTTCTCGCCTAGCCTCACAGTTACAACACAATGGTCAGAGAAGGATACCGGCGTTACCAAATATTCAAACGTGTGTTCCAAAAGACAACTAGACACGTATATTCTATCAAGGCGTGCGTGGCCAGAACTTTGCAGGTGCGTGAAGCGATTGATGGACGTTCGAGAAGCACTGACGTCACTTAGGCAGTGTTGGCGCACAAGATTCTCGAGAGCGATACTGCTGTTGTCGCGTCTCAGACTGATCGTCGAGCGGTCGTGGGCTTCGCATACACAGTTAAAGTCGCCAAATAGGACAATACATTTGTCGGTGTCAAGAAAAGCATCTAAATTTTGGAAAAGTGAAAGTCGACTAGAAGAGTCATTATAGGCATAAACGCAAATCAGCCGCCAGTGAATTCCCTCTAAGTAAATGTCACAACAGATAAAACGACCTTCAGTGTCAACCGTGTACGAGAGCGAGGTGTAGTTCAAGCCTTTGCGAAGAAACAAGAAACAACCAGCCGATAGCCCCACAGCGTGACTCACACAAACTTCATACCTGTGTAGAAAAGGCTGGAGCGCACTTGTTGTGGCCTCCTCCGACTCTATCTTTGTCTCCTGAATCGCAACAATGTCCAGCCGCTCACGTTGCAAGAGCCGACAAAGTTGCACCTGCCTCGCACGAGATCTTAAACCTCGGACGTTTAGTGTTGTGAAATTTAGGGGAATATTCTTAGCTTCTATCCGTCCTCATAGAGGCCGCATTTCTGCGTTGAACGACACTCGCCACACTTTAGGTAGCTCCTGGCTTCGCATTCGGCTTGGCACGGGACCCCGATGCCTTCTTTTTGGCGACGTCTCCGTCGCCAACACGGTTGAGTAGTGTTGAGGACCCGCTTGAACACGAAGGTGCCTCAGTGTCAACCGTTGCCGGTCGCTTGAGTGGTTGGCTGCTGCTCGAGGAAGGGCCGTCCTCGCTAACTGCGTGCTGAGGTGTAGTCGGAGCCTTGGAGACAGTCGGTACGGGAGTCGCATCAGGTTCCACGTGCGCATTCTGTGTGGTGCTGGTGTTTGGGGATGCTGCAGGTTCCAACACTGGAAATTCTTCATTCTTGTCGATGTTTTGTGATGGCTGGGTGTCTGTACTGTCCCCGGGCCGTGCGTCTCCTGAAGGATGGGCCGATTCGACGGGTGGCAATTCCCCGGTGACGTCAGCTACCTCACTGACGTCCATTAGGAGCTCCGCCGCTGTGTCATCTTCGTGTGTTTGACGTTGTCGTAACATGTCCGCATAGGTGGCGCCGTTGACACACTCCTCAGTTTGGTGGCCATACCGCCGGCAGTTGGAGCACCTCGGTGTTCTACAGTAGCGTCGAAATGTCCCACTTTGTTGCAGCGCAAGCACAACGGAGGTCGGCCAGGAATAAGGACGAGGCTCTGGCATCCGTAGACTTGAAGGAGATGTGGTATCTGACTGGCATTGACACCATCCCCTAATACCAGTACTACCTCTCGATTTAGAGTCTCCATGTGCTCAAGCTCGCTGCACCTCCATTTTTCTCTCTTGATCGATCGCACTTTGCCAAACGGGGCGAGAGCTTCGATAACTCGTCGATCCTCTAGATGCTGTGGAAGCCAAAGAAGCTTTAGGTTTACTTCTTGCTTGTCCGGGTCAATGATGAGGCACTTTCGGCCTTTCACGCGGAGCTCTCGTTGAGCGACGAGCTTTGCCTTGGTAACAGCGTTGACACACGTCAGCATCCAGACGTGAGACATCTGGAACTGTCCGAGGCTCATAACGTCCTTCAATTCGACGATGCCACGTAGGGCGTCTCGAAAATCAGGAGCTCGATACGGGCGCGCCGAGAGGTCCCCATGCAAGAAAACGGAATTCAGGCTCAGGTTACCTGATGTCAGACGTGGCAGGATTATCCGGTAGTCTTCTGTAACGTTATCAGACGTCATAACGTTTCCTCGGCCAGCGGCCGATAAATTTTCCCCGGAGAACATGGAAAACGTGGCCGTTCGAAACGGCGTCTTCTTCTTTCTCCTACGCTATGCCACCGCTTAGGAAACTCGTCGTGACTATAGATGTTCTTTCTATACACGCGCCAGAATACAGCCACTATTGCTGACATTCTCTTCTTTTACCAAGATACCGAGCCACTGAAATTGGTGTGGACGAGCCTCCACAAAGGCCAATGCTGGGGAGAAAGACAGAATAAAACCTAGGATGGCAATGACCTAGCCTGCTATGGTAATAATGAAGTGAAGTAAACGTAATAAGGGGAAACAAAAACTGAAGGTCAGTTATGGCGGCGCCCATGCACAGCTGCTGCAAAGCGTATATTCGTTTTATACAAGACAAACGTAGTGCATATAGCAATTTGCGGCCGAGCTGCGCTCCGGAGTGCATATAGCATTACTCTATTATTATATTTGATATCTTCTCTTTATGTACTTGACTGTCGTAACATATAGACCGCATTTTATATCTTGCATTATTTGTTTGTTTTACACGGGGTAAATTCTAAGCAGGGTTGGGCAGTATCGCGATGCAAATGTATCGCGATAGTATTTTAGGAATACATTTTTTATCTCTATTTCTGTATCGAAATACATTTTGAATGTTTATTTGTATCGCAATACAATCAGGGTGGAATGTACTTCGTTACATTTCTTGAGAAGTACTCCCCCCCCCCCCCCTAAAAAGAAAAACAAAAAAACAACAAAAGCTTTTATTTTATTTGTTTTTTTTACTTCTGAGGGCACCAGGGTCAAGGAGATGCTGAAGCATTGTTACCATGCTGACCAAGGTTCCTTCCGATTCTCCAGACTATTTTTCTATGCGTCCTCTTCCCTCTTCTGTTGTTGCGCAGGTGGCGTGACAGAAGTGAAGTCAGAGCATCTTGTGCCGCAGGTCCTTAGGTAGGGGTTTCTTGAGTCATTGTTTGCGGGCATCCAAAGCCCGCTGCTAACAGTCTCTCTTGCCTTAACGTACACAGTACACCCATCCGGCAAAGCTGAGTCACAGTCCGTTGCAGCACGAGCCTGGCGGTGGTTGATTTGAAATAGTAGGATAACTCGCGCAGTGAAGTTCAACACAAATTCGAACGCGTCTGCGGCTGCGCCCGTAATATTGCACGGCTCAAGGGTACGTCATCAGCCGACGTGAAAGTGACCCACTGTTCTGGTGATCAGAAACCCAGGAAGGAGGTCAGACGTGGCCTCGCTGTGCCGACCGAGACTTCGTACACCTGCGACTCGTCTCGAGCGCGCTGTTTCTCGAAGAGCTCGCACCACTGCCGGCGATATCAGGTCGCAATACACGAGGTCTCTATTTGGAGTATGCAAGGCAAAACTTGATGACTGCAATCCATGCGTCGATGGCGGAGGGTCATCCGGAAGCACCTTCACAACAGGAATACCACCGTATCGTTTTTTCAACCGTAACAAAAGATAAGACATGTGTTCCAGGATGTTTCAGGTGGTCCACCATTCTCAAAAATTCTGCACGATCTTCAACGAGGTAACCTACAACTTCTGCAGGGAAGATAATCCTGTTAAAGCCCTCCTCTCTTAAACTGCGAAGGGAGCCGTGTTGGGGCAAGTTGAAAGGGGGAAAGGATCTGGGAAATAAGGGAGTGAGGAAAAGTGGAAAGCGCGAAGTGTGCGTCGGCCTTTAAAGTTTCAACTTCAAGCCCACACCTACAGATAAAGAATACCAGTTCATTCCACCGTGACGTCATGTGATAAATGTTGACAGGGGCGTCCTTATTTGACAGGGGCGAGGTGACGTTTTGATGGGATTTAGGATGACAGAGAATTTATCTACAGGTCGAAGTCTTTTCGCATCCCTCGTCAGACAGACAGGATGTCAGGGAAGAGACCACGGTCAGTCCTTGATGGAACGTTTTTCTGAGCCCCTTGAAGACTCCTCGTCGTCCGAAATCACTACCTTCAAGGCAAAGTGCCAAGCCTACGGGAAAGTAATTCCAGGATCAAAAACTTCCACTTATAATTCCAAGCTTCATCTAATTTAGTCTGAAATAAATTTGAAAATGTATTGCAGTATCAGTATTTCTGTATTTGTATTTCTGCCCTCCCTAAAATGTATTCCTGTATTCGTATTTCCAAATACCTTTTGCCTCTATTTAAAATGTATTTCCGATCCGTATCGCATTACACTTTTACAGATTTATATCAGTATCAGTATTTTAGGTACTATTTTAAAGTATCCCAGTATTTGTATTTCCAAATACATTTTTGAGTATTTCTGCCCAACCCTGATTCTAAGGCATAAATACGAATCTGCGCTTTAAACAAATGTATTCAGAAGATTATTTGGAGAGCATAAAATACTTTTCTTAACATCTGCACTTTGTATACAAATGTCTGTTTCGAGGTTGTAATTGACTTTTTAATCAGATACTTTGTAAACGCATATTTATTTGTATTTCGATAATTTCTTTTGTATGTTATGTTCATTGCTGGTGCCCTCTAGTTTCATGTTTTTTTTGGATATTTCATATCTTAACCATTTTAGTGACTGTTATAGTCACTAAAATGGGCAGTTTTTTTTTTTTCTTGTGTGCTTACATTTCAGTACATTGCGCTTAGAATTTAACTACTTGGAATTAAAATACCTAACATTTTAAACTGCGTTAATTCACTAACTTGTTTGCCCTCTTTCTCAAAAGAAAAAAAAAAGTTTTAGCCGATGGTGGGATCCGTAGAGAAAAAACGTACGCAACACTGAGAACGCCGTGATGGCATCAAGGCTCGTTGTAAAATTTCAAAGTTATGCGATTATTTACGAAATCAGTCTTTTCCTGAAGTAAGAAAAGACAGTGTGCCGTTGTGTGCAGCTTATCTAGGTAGGAACTACAAATGCACCCTACTTTCAAGCATAGCTCGAGCTGAAATGTGTGT